AAAAAATCAATCAATTAATTAATTAATTAATTTAAAAGGTATACAGCAAACTATCAGCAGTGGTTTTCTCTGGGGAGTGACCGTAGATGGGAGAACTTTTAGTTTCCACTGGATTTACTGAAGAGATAAATTCCTTAATTCCAAGGAAAACACAGAGACAGAGTCCAGGCCTCGTCAGCACTGGGGCATCATAACCCTGAGGGGTGAGGGGAGGCAGGCTTCACCGAGGTCACCCCATGCCACTGCAGTCCTCAGATGTGGGGAAGATGGCGGAGTCTACAGTCTGGGGAGGCCCAAGGGATGCACCCCAGGCCCTCAGAGGAGCCCAGGCTCACCCAGAGACCTCGGCAGGAGCTCACACAGTTCTTGTTAAACTTTGGAACCCAGGACCCACCCCATGGGCACTGGCGTTTCTGACCAGAGCCCTGGGGGACTCTCATTCAAGGAGCCCACTGTGCAGCTGGCAAACAGACCTTCAGGCCCACTCTTCTGAGGTCAGGGTTAGCAGATAAGGGTACAAAGTCCCAGAGAGAGCCGGCTTCTCCCTGTGGCCCAGGGGTGGGAGACACCTCAGTGCTAAGAAATCCAACAGGCAGTAGCCACACTGTTCCCTGAGCAAAGGGGCGATGGAGGCAGCAGGAGGAATGAAAGGAGGGCAGGCGGCAGGGGCTGGACACCAGCAGTGTTTAAAGCCAAGAGGAAAGGGGGCCTCCGGAAGGTCCACAGGCCACAGCATTCTGACGGGAAGGGCACAGCATAGCAGCACAGGGCACGCCCCTGCGGGAGCAGCAGGAACACAGGTGTGCAAAGTGCTCCCCAGACACAGCCTGTTCTAGCCGGGAGCAGTGGCTCACACCTTTAATCCCAGCTATTTGGGAGGCTGAGGCAGGAAGACTGTAAAAGTTCAAGTCCAGGCCAGTTTGGGCAACCTAGTGAGATCCTGTCGCAAAATGAGAAACTTCTTAAAGGCTGAGAGTATAATTCAGTGCTCCTGGAGTTCAATCCCCAGTACAGGAGGAAGGCAAGAGGACCACTTCTCTGGTCCCTGTTCACCCAACACGCCATGTGCCAGCAGCACCGAGGAAGCAGGAAGAACGCTGGAAGTGGAGCGCCAGGTCATTATGCTCAGTGTGCCACCCAGATACACACTGCTCACAGGACACATAATGGTGGTGGACAAACGAAAGGCAGAACTGCACCTGTGGCCTTCAGCTCGGCTTCCTTCCCTTCAGGAAGAACAGAGCTGAAGCTGCCATTTCCCACGCTGGCACACTCGCCTGGAACCCTCTG